TCTTCAGACGTGAACATACTTCTTGTTCTAGAGGAAAAATATATTTGTATCAAAATTGGGTGTTTATTTGCTGCTTAAAGTGCCATTAAGGATTTTTTAGCTTAAACCTCTTGAACTATTGTCAAGAACCCCCAATGTGTCCATGAACCACCTAATGGGAAGTGCTGCTAAAGGACTAGTAGTGAATTATGCTGTCCATTTCCTGAAAGGACGATAAACTCAACATAGAAGGAGGCATGATATTTTTGAATGTGGGAAACACATGGATTTTAAAAATTGTGTTTATTATAAGGGCTTTGGTTTTCCCTTTATTTAGGGAGCACAGACGTTCAAAAAGAAATTTAAAAAATAAAGAATAGTAACTATTTAAAAAGTCATGGGCTGTAACAGAATCTATTATGCCTCAGGTGAATACAAAAAAACAGGGTGGGCAGTTATGATGTGATATCAGACATCACAGTTGAAAAATGAAGATTAAAAGGGATTACCAGGGAAATTACAACGCGTCCAAAGAGGGAGTGGTATTGTTCAGTTGTGTTTGATTCTGTGTGACCCCCCCCCACCCCGGAGGTTTTCTTAGCAAAGATATTGGAGTGGTTTGCCCTTTCCTTCTCTAACGTGTCCCAATTTTAAAAATGAGGAACAAAGGCAAATAGGGTTAAGTGACATGCCCAGGGTTACACAGTTGGTGTCTGAGGTCAGATTTGAACTCAGATCTGAGTTGACTCCACACCTGGCACTCTATCTACTGTACCACCTACCTACCGTAAAGATATAGCAGATAATGAAATAATATGAATATTTAGTATATATGCAAGAAGTGACATGTATGTGGATCTGAATAGGATCTAAGAAAAGTGGGCTATAATGCTGAAAATTATTACATGACAACTGAAAAACATAAATCTGTTTCTGAGCTTCTCATATGAATTTTACAAAGAATGACCAATGACCATCAAAATTGATCAACAGAGAAAAGCTAGAATCTTACCCAAGCATAACGAAATTTAAAACAAGAATAATCAACAAAATGTATTTGAATGAAGGATTAAAAGTAAAGTGGAGCAAGGCTATCTAAGAGCAGGCTCAGTCCCAGGGTTTGAGTTTTAGTCTCACCTGCAGGGATGCTGGTCATATTACTTGGCAATTCTGAGCTCATGGCTTATTGTAAAGTGTAACGAGAGTCCTGCTCTGCGTGTGTCGTAGGCTTGTTGTGAGGATCCCATGCTGCTGTTTGTGAAGGGTTTTGTAAATTAAGTCATCCTCCAGATAGGAGCTAATGCGTTTTCACATGATTGATTCTGGCCCGCTTAAATTTGAAAACTCCATTTTGACCTGAGAAATAGAATGTAAATCAGTTTACTTTCTGTCAGTGGAGGGAAGAGGATTTATTTATATGTATGTGTGATGAGTATGTGTCTGTATGTATGTTTTGTTTGTTTTTTCTTCAGATGCAGAGACCAGTTTTGAAGTGAATAAGACTCCTACAAAGTTAAGCCTTTCTGTTGAAGAATCTCACTAGCAAAGATTCATGAGGGATGGTCCTTGTGACTTCAGTTTGAGAGAAATCTGTGACTGATATCGAGAGAGAGAAAAACCAACATAGCCACTATGAATTTAATAAAGCTAGCAAGAATTTCAGGCCACGTTCAGTCCGAATTCACTGTAAAAAAAAATGATCTCAGGGAATGACTTTTCAGTATAGTGAATATTGGGAATGCTTTACTGAAAAGGTTGGCCTTATTCAGTCTTAAGAGAAGCCTCCTGAAATGAAAATGTATCAGGGTAATCAGCTTGAGATCAGATATCATTAGACATCTGAAAAACTGTACTGATGAAATGCTTTATATATGTAATTAATATAAGGAGGTCTTCAGTCAGAACTCAAAAAACTCTTTGTCCATCAGAAAATTCACTGTGGAAAGAAATCCTGTGAATATAATGAATGAGGAACGATTGCCTTAATCCATCATTCATCTCTTACTTGGCATCCTAGATTTCGTACTGTAATGAAAATAAGTGCTTGTCATCAGTGTGAAATCTAGACCATATTAGATATCAGAAGATTGGTCTTAGAGAGAAGCTTCATAAAAATAATGAATGTGTAAAGGCTTTCCCATACAGATCATTCCTTTTTTTAGCCATCAGAGAATTCACATTGGAGGGAAACTTTATGAATGTAATCAGCGTAGAAGGATTTTCTCTCAAGAGTGCCTGTATTGCTTTTCATTGCAAAACCTGAACTGGAGAGAAATTTTATATATGTAATCAATGTGTAATCTCCGAGCTTTGCTATACATCAGAATCAATACTGGAGAGAAACCTTATGAATGTTATCAATGTGGAAAAACTTTCACACAAAACTTTAAACTTACCACAAAGTCTATGGACTGAAGTTTTGATTTCTCTCCCTTCTGTTGTGGAATGAGCTCCTCAGGCCAACTAGGGAGTGTTTTTATTTTTCAGGCTTGCTGCTCTGAGATTTCATTGAAAATGTTTCAAAATCCTGAGCCATCCAAATAGAGGACAAACCAGGGTAGGATTGATGGGCTTTAAAAGCGGTAGTGATGATACCTATAGAATGTGGAAAAAAAAAACACAACAAAAAACAAAAAAACTTCAAACTTGCTAAATATCAGAGCATCCACACTGGAGAGAAACCTTATGAATATAATTGATATGGAAAGGCTTTCACACAGAACTCCAAACTTGCTTGACATCAAATAATACACTCTGGAGATAAACCTTATGGATATCATCAATTTTGAAAGGTTTTTAGATGTACCTACCCACTTGCTACTCATCTGAGAATCCACACTGGAGAGAAACTTTATGAATGTCATCAATGTGGAAAGACTTTCAGATGCAGCTCCAGTTTGCTGGATTTCAGAGAAACCTTACATCTATATAATCAATGTATTAAAGCCTTCAAGTAACAGTCTTCCCTTAATTCCCATCAGAGAATTCATACTAGATAGAAATTTTATCACTCTAATGATTGAGGAAAGGCAGTGAAATGGAGTATACAGCTTTTTCAATATCAGAAAATTCATTCTGGGGAGATGCCCTATGTGGATTCAGTGGGGAAGGCCTTCAGTCAAAGGTCATCTTCTACTTTATCTCAGAGGATTTATAGTGGAGAGCGACCTTAGGATTTTGCTTAATGAGAACGTGCTTTTCTCTGGAAGAGGGAAATTACTAGACATCAGAATATTCATATGAGAAAGAAGACTTATAAAAGCAGTGAATATGCAGAGCTCATACTTAACTCTACACGGGAGAAAACCAATGGATATTAGTAATGAGGTGTAGACTTAGAAATTCCAAATTTAATAATGTTTATAAAGACCTATAAATGTAATGAATTTTTCTCTGAAATCCTAATGTTTTTAATTTCTCCTCAGTTACATTTTGTAGCATTTATAAATTAGCTTCAGCCATTCCCCAGTTGATTGGTACTCAATATTTCCTGTTCTTTGGTGGCACAGAAAGTCCTGGTATAATTTTTTTTTTTGCATTTATTTTTGTAGTGATTTCTTTAAGCATCTAGGTTCTGCAATGGATAGAGTTCCACGCCTGGAACCATAACACCTGAGTTCAAAATTCAGTCTCTTACGTTTACTAGCTTTGTGACCCAGGGCACGTCACTTAACCTATTCCTGCTTGATTTTCCCTCTCTGTAGAATGGGGATAGTAATAGCACCTGACACCGGACTTATAGGGCTGATAAGTGGAACAAATGAGACAGCACTTGTTAAGAGCTTGGCAAGCATTATATCACAATGGAAATGCTAGCTAGTAATAATAATTATCACTATAATTGTCATCTTTATTGTAATTCCTTGGATCATAAATCTCATAGTAGAGTTGTAGGCCAAAATGTGTGGACAGTTTAGTGACTTTTCATTCAAATTAATATTCAAAACAGTGTAGAGGAAGGCACTAGTAGTAACAGATAATGCCCTTGGTTTAGAATCAGGAAGATGGGTTTAAATCCTGCTTCATATGCTCTCTGGCTCTGTGATTCTGGGCAAGAAATAACCTCTATGCCTCATCTCTAAAGTAAGGAGGTTGGCCTTCCTGGCTTCTATGGTCCCATCCAATGCTTAATATGTGTTCTTATAAAAAATGCGTTCTATGTCTCTGCAGCCTCTTAAAATGATCCATGAAGGAGGTCTAGCAGGACTGAATATGAAACTATAGCACAAAGCAAGAGTCATCCAAACTGCTTAAAAGTAAGCTTGAGAAACTGAAGAGATCAGATGTGTAATATTCTAAAGAAAATGAGAATACTAATTCTTGTGGTCAATAAATCCAATGAACCCAACTATGGAGCTAGGATTTACTAATCACTACCAAGTGTTAGAAAAGATGGAAAGCAGTCTGGCATGAACTACAAATGGATACATGACTTAGATAGAAAAGATCCCCTCAAACATTAGAGGAAACATGGAGAAGATACGTTTTCGGTTTTGGATAGAGGATGAGTTTGTCGCCAAAAAAGGGACAGAGAGCATCACAGAAAATAAAATGGGCAGTTTTCATCACATTAAAACACAGTATCTAAAATGTTAAGGGAAGCAGTTAACTTGGGAAAAGATTTGAAGCAGGTTTTCTTGATAAAGACTTCACATTCAAGGTATATGAAGAGGAGGCACAGATTATGTAGAGTCATATGAAGTATAGACACAATAGACATATGGTAAACAGGCAGTTTTTAAAGGAAGAAATGCAAATTAGTAACCGTATGAAAAATGTGGGCCATGTTTGTAATTACTAATTCAAATCAATAATAATTAGAAAGATCTCTCAGATTGGTAAAGGTAATAAGAGTCACAAATATTGGAGGGAATTTGTTTTTCTTGATTGGGTTTTTGGTACAAGTGTTTTGTGTCTTTCCCTTTTCACCTGTGGGAGGGGAGGTCAGAAGGACAGAAATTGTTCATTAATTTTAAAATGAAATTTAAGTTAAAACATTCTGAAACACTAATAATTAGATAATGCAATTGAATAAATTCGTGTTCTACCGCACACCCTTGCAATTGGCAAAGATGAACTCAAAACATCCAGTTTTGGGGAAACTGTGGGGAAAATGGGCACATTAATTTACTGTTGGTAAAGCTGCAAAGCTGCAAAAGTCACTAATTGTGTACACCCTTTGACTCACTGGGGGGATTTTCCCATAAATCAAAGAAGAGGCAGGGACCTAAGTGTATGACTCCTTAACAGCTATATTTGTTATGACAAAGATCTGGAAACTCAGGTGTGATGCCCCACAATAGGGCAATGGCTGAATAAATTTTGATAAAGGAATAAAATGGAACACAAATATGGTACAAAACAGGCAATTTCAGTGAAACCTGGGAAGAGCTATGTAAACTAATGTGTAGTATGTAAAATCAAGAGACTATTTGGTAATAATGATATTGTAAAGGTCACACTTTGACAGATGCTGTAATTATGATTATTGTATTGACCGCTGTTGCAGGGGAATTATCAGGATCTGAACTACTTGTCTCCTGAATGAGAAATGATGAATAAGAGATATAGAATAAAGTGAATTTTGGGATATGGACAGGGTAAGAATTTATTTGGCTTAGCTATGTTCTTTCCTAAGAAATTATATTTTTTAATAATTATTTAGCATTTTATTTTTTCTCCAATTTCATGTACAAATCCATTTGTAACATTAATTTCCCCCCCCCCCCCCAGATTCTCTCCTTTCCTCTCATTCTCCCCTCATTAGGAAGGCAGGCAATTTGATGTAAGGTATACATATGCAGTCATGTAAAACATGTCCATACTAGTCATATTGTGAAAGAAAACACAGATCAACCCCCCCACGAAAAATAAATTTTAAAAAAGTATGCTTATCAAATGTGGATGGTTTCTTTTTTTTATCATTTTCACCAATTGTGAAGGCATGTCAAGAAATTAGAAAATGGTCTTAATGACTTTCTCTTACTATTGTTGCTTTGGAATGTTTTCGTGTGGTCATTAATAGTAGTTAGCACTCTTGAAAACTTCGTATCCTTTCGGCACCCATCTATTAGAAATGACTCTTGGTAAACAATGGTGTCAGTTCTCTATATATCTTGGAGAGAAATAAATTTTTTTTAAGTGAAAAATTTTATATTTTTTCTGATTACATGTAAAAATAATTTTAGCGTTAGTTTTTTTTAAATGTTGAGTTTAAAATACTCTCTCTTCTCTCTCCCCAACTTGACAAGACAAACAACTTGATATAGATTAAATATGTACAGTCATGCAAAACAAATTTACATATTAGCCATATTGCAAAAGAAAGCATAGACCCAAAAAAAAAAACCCAAGAAAAATAAAGTTTAAAAAACTATGCTTTGATATGCATTCAGATTCCATCGGTTTTTTCTCTGGAGGTGGATAGCATTTTTTGTCATAAGTCCTTCAGAGTTGTCTTGGAAAATTGTTGCTGAGAATGCCTAAGTCATTCACTATTGATCATCATACAATATTACTGTTACTGTATACAGTGTTCTCCTGGTTCTCCTCACTTTGTTCATAGAAATCTTCTGAGGTTTTTTTTCCTGAAATTGTCATTTTTTATAGCACAATAGTATTCCATCACAGTCATATACAACAACTTGTTCAGCCGTTCCTCAATTTCCACTTATTTGCTGTCACAAAAAAAAGTGCCATAAATACTTTTGTACATATAAGTCCTTTCCTTTTTACTTTGATATCTTTGGAATACAGACCTAGTAGTGGTGCACAGGTTTATAGCACTTTGGGCATAGTTCCAAAATGCTCTCCAAAGTGGTAGGATCAGTTCATAGCTCCACCAGCAGTCTATTAGTGTCTCAGTTTTTCCACATCCCCTGCAACATTTGTCGTAATAGTCAATCTGAAAGGTGTGAGATGGTACCTCAGAGTTGTTTTAATTTGCATTTTTCTAATCAATAGTGATTTAGAACATTTTTTCATATCTAAAAATCACTTTAATTTCATCTGGAAACTGCCTGTTCATACCTTTAACCGTTTGTTATTGGGGAATGACTTGTGTTCTTATAAATCTGACTTGGTTATCTGTATATTTAAGAAATAAGGCCTTTATCAGAGAAACTTGCTGTCACTGTGTACAATGTTTTGGTTGTTCTGTTTCTGTTTTATGGGTGAGTTCATCTCATTTGTATTCACAATTATGATTACTGTGTATTTCCCTCCCGTGGTGAAAAGACTGGAGCAGTCTTTTCTAAGTCTCTTCTAAGAGGCCATCCTGGAGCCCAGGGCCCCTTTTGACTCCTAGATGGCTTCCCCAAAACTGTCATGAGTGAATTATAATAACTGAAAAGACAGAGTCTGAGGAACGCAATTTTGTAGTAAAGCATGCGTAATAAACTGGGTCCAGGGTCCCTCAGCAGGCACAAAGACTTTGAATACAGGTTTTGTACAGATATTTATACATTTAAAAAAAAAATAAGGGTACAAAATAATGCAGGATTAAGTAATCTGTTTTTTATTGGGGAATAGATTTGAGATTTTCCAAGTTGGGAGCAGGAGAATGTGCAGGTGGAATTTCCCCCAAATCAGGTGATTTAGAGGAATAAGTCTCAGAATGGAAGTTGTTTACAAAGTGGAGTCAGTTTGATTCTCGTGTCAGAGCAGATTAGCTGGAAGCCTGAGCCCTTGAAGCTGATGTCACTGCCTTCTCTTAGAGCTGAGATCACCCTTCCTCCTGGGAGCCAGCTGTGCATTTGAAAAGCCCCAGTAGTTTTGAACCAGGACCCTGCCCCTGTGTCTGCTGGGTGCCTTTTCCGTTGGACCTTATCCTCCCAGTCTGACCTCTTGGTGAGTGTTTACAGGGATACAAGGAACATGCCTTCTTCCCAGGCCTAGCTGCTGGGCCAGCCCTCAGCCCCTGCTTCTTGTCCAGGCTCTCCACGATATCCCAGATGTCCTTGGGCAATAGCCTCTGCTTTACCAATGGATCTGGGATTCCAAACCCCTTCCTGCCTCTCAGGTCTCTCTGTAGGAAGATGAGTGAGACAACTGGGGCAGAAGAGAAGAAATAAGAGAAAGTGAAAAGTAGTCTTTGAGTTTAGATCATCCTTGTTTATAAGCCTTATTCTATCTGCTGGCCCCCTCTTCTGGTTGTACTTTCTCCCCTGAGGGCTGTCCCAGGAGCTTTGTAACTCCTCAGGGGGCTCACCCTCTGTAAATCCTTGTAGGCCAGCCCCTTGCCTAGGAGGTGAAGGGAAAGACGTCTCCCGCCCCAGGATCCTTCTCCCTCCTCTGCTCAGCCTGAAGAGGACCAAGACCTGAGCCAAGCAAAAAGCCTGGAACCAGAGAGAATGGCCCTTGGACCCCAAAGACACCCATGGCAGGTGAGTACAGTACAACCACAGCCTTGACCAGGGGTGGGGTGGGGAACCTGTGGCCTCGAAGCCACATGTGGCCCTCTAGGTCCTCGAGTGTGGCCCATTGACTGATTCCAAACTTCACAGAACAAATCCACTTGGATTTGAGTAACATCAGCAAATATGCTCACTACCATAGATACAGAAGATTGTCTATGAAGCTGTCAATCTTTTTTACCTAATAATTGTTTCTTTTAAAAAATAAATATGAAATTGAATCCAGTAGTAACAACATTGCCCTGCTTTCTTCTGTTGTAAACATTTTCATTAGCTCTTTTCCATCTCTAGCAATAATTTTACACTCAATTTGCTGCCCTTTCGGTTTTGATTTTTAAGTTCTCCCCCATTACACATGATTGAGAATTGTTCCTAAATAATAGAACCTCTGAAAAAGTGAATCCTAACACTAATGGACATGGCTGGTAATGAAATGAGAGGGCATCAAATAACAATACATTGGCCAAACGTGTTGTGTATGTAACAGGTTGGAAAAATAGATGACCCCTCTCATGTATCAAGGCATTTTCACATCTGACCAACCTCTTGTATTTCATCCATCAGTCAGCCTCTTACCGGATTATCCTGACTCTTGCTCTCCATTGTCCTAGAATTTTAGGGTTATATTTAGGTGACTTATTTCTCATAAACTGGCAGTGTCTCATGAATTAGCTCAATCTCCAACCCCAGGTAATAAAATATTAATTTATAATAAATGAAGGAATGCTTATTTCCCATCATAATTACTCTTATATTTCTATATGATGAAATATGAAAATTAATGAATATATGCCATTAACAAGTGAAAGCAATCATAAAGCAAAGACATAAGATGCGTTGTTTGTGACAGATCTTCTCTTCTCACCTCAAGTGCTCAATATAACCATAAATAACTCTTCCTCAATTGGTTGAAAACAGTTGCGTACTACTTAATATAGTCCAGATTGTTATTACTATCTTTTAAGAGTCTTCTTTGTGTTTTCTTATGGATAAGGAGTTTCAGATTTTTAGGAACTTGACTAGATTATTCCTTTTTCTTTTCTCCTTTTTTATCGATCACATGTGGCGTTGTTTCCCCCAGAATACAGAGTACTTGCCAACTTCTCACTAACTCTTCAAAGAATTTTTTTTAAACATGTCACTTTGAGAGTTCCGATGAGGGAGAAATTGCACATCATCTTTCTCCTCCACAGGTCTTCATACCTTACTTCTGGTACACATACTTTCTCCTTGATTCTACAGGGAGAAGCATTTCATAATAAGATATTTGTCAACTTTATTCCAACTGCAAATATAAAATGCTTTTCTCAGTATTCCATTGGGCTCTTAACGACTATGGCTTTAAAGGTTGGCTCTGACACTCGTAAGTCATGTGACTGTTAGGAAACCCCTTCTCCGTGCTTCAGTTTCCTCTATACATTGATGAGGGTTGGACTGGATGAATTCTGCAGTTTCTTTCAGCTCTAAGTCTCGTGAATTCTGATGGTTAGGAGTCACTGACATTCAAGGATGTGGCTGTGGACTTCACCCAGGAGGAGTGGGGCCTCTTGGACCATTCTCAGAAACAGCTCTACAAGGAGGTGATGCTGGAAAACTCCCAGAACCTGCTCTCCCTGGGTAAGCAAACTCCTCTGGGAACTTGGAATCTGCCATCAAAGAAGTGTCTCCCTTTCTTCTCTAGTGTGTAAGGTGGGAGTATTTGTCACTTATTAGAAAGGCAAAATTGGTGGTTTCTCAACAAGGTGCTCCAGCTGCCTGGTTTTCCTGATAAATTGTGGTTGCATTTTGTGATAGGAAGCTGTCACTTTCCTATTTGAAGTAACTTCAGGTTGCAAAACAAACAAGGGTATAAAATCTCAGACTTAGAGCTAATCTCAGAGGCCATCTAGCCTAGCCTCTACCTGGACATGAATTTTGTCTGCAAAATCTCTAAAATCTGTTCATGAAGTTTTTCCTTGAAGAAGGGCAGTGAAGAAACCCCCTACCCCAAAAGAAAACCCCTTCCTCCTTGGGATGGGTCGTCTTTAAAAAGCTCTGCTTGTTGACAAGCCTAAAGTTTTAGCTCTTTTTAGCTTCCGGTTTTGCCTTCCATGTAGTAAGTTTATCTTTTTTCTTCTTTTATTCTTCCCCAAAATTCCAGCACAGATAGTGGGAGAGAAAGAGAAAGGAATAAGCATTTTTATAAACTTACTATATGCCAGGCCCTATGCTAAGTACTTTGTACATTTTATCTCATCTGATCCTTACAACACCCTGTGATTTGGGTGCTGTTTTTACCCCCATCTTTTATGTGGAGAAACTAAAACAGAGGCTAAGTGACTTGCCCAGGGGCACACAGCTACTAAGCGTTTGAGGCTGGATTTGAACTCAAGTTTTCCTGACTCCAGGCCCAGGGCTCTCACCACTGAACTACAAGCTGCCTATTATTTCTAGATAGTGGAATCTGTGCACTGTGTCCATCCTTCTGTGAAGGAGGCAAAGAGAGAATTTTCTAGTTCCAAATTAGCTGCCTTATCTTCTCCCTGCCCTCATGCCCATCCTTGATGAGTCCTGCTGACCACCTTGTGGTCCTTACTTATACTTCCCCTATCCCTAAAGAGGAGTAAAACATAACTTTCCCTCCATCCTCATCTCTCCTTTATCCACCTTGCCAAGGAATTCCACTTCTCAGGGAAGATTTGATCTCCCATTTTGAGGAAAGAGAACCGTCATGGATCCGGGATCAGAAAGGCCCAAGGAACTCCTGTCCAGGTGAGTGAGATGAAAGCAAGGCCATGAGGGCTGTCATCAACAGAAGCATCTGTGTTATAGAGAAGGGAATGCGAGTCTTGGGGGCAAGAAAACCTGACTTGGAATTCTTGTTTAGATGCTGGGAATGTTACTGAACCTCTAAGCCTCAGTTTCCCTATCTGTGAAATTTAGAGGTTGAACCCCACGGCCTTTCACTCTCCTTCTAGTGATAAATCTGTGAATCCTATAAGACGTCATTGTTTAGAACTTTGCAACATGGAAATCTTATGACAGCATTAAGAGCTGAAACTATCCCACTTGAGTTCTTTCCTAGACCTTCAAGTGAGCAGGCATTTATTAAGCACCTCCTATGTGCCAGACACCGTCCTAAGTACCATAGATAGAAAGAAAGGCAAGGGACAGCCCCTGTCCTCAGAGAGTCACAATTTAATGGGGAAGACTACGTGCGAACAATTATGTGGAGACCTGCTTTAGCCAGGATAAATTAGAGCTAATCCAAGAGAGGGAGGGCAGAAAGATTAAGGTGGACTAGAAAAGGCCTATTGTAGAAGGTAGGCTTTTAGGTGAGACTTCAGGGAAGCCAGGGTGAGCATTCTAGGTATAATGGGCAAGCAGGGAAAACACATGGAGTCAGGAGATGGAGGATCATACTTAAGGAACAGAAAGGAGGCCTGTATCACGGGATTATCACATGTGGAGGGGCAGTGAGGTGAAAGGAGACTGGAGAGATAGGGGAGGGGAAGATGGTGAAGAGCTTTAGCAACCAGAGGATTTTGCATTTGATCCTGGTGATAAGGAGCTGATTGAGTAGGTAGTGACATGGTCAGAAGTGTGCTTTATATAGGAAGATGGATTTGACAGCTCTGTGGAGGAGTGAGTGGGCTGGAGAGAGAACTGAGGCAGGGAGACCAACCAGAAAGCTCTTGCAATACCACAGGTGTGAAGTTATATAGACCTGAACCAAGAAAGTTTCAACATTGGGAGAGACGGTGTATGAGAGAGAGGGTACAAAAATAGAATCAAGAGGACTTTGCAAAATATCAAAATGGGGGATGGGAGTATGTGGCAGAGATGGGGAGTACATGCTGCCTAGGTCGTGAGGCTGAATGCTTGGGAGGGTGGTGCCCTGGATAACAATAATCAAGTGAGAAGATGGGAGGGTTGGTGGAAAAACAAATGAGTTTAATTTTGAACATGGGAGGAGGAGAAGAACCAGGAGAGAGCAGTGTTCCCAAAACCTGGAAGAGAGGATCCAGGAAAAAGGGGAGTGATTGACGGTGTCAGAGGTGGCAGAGCGGTCAAGAAGCATGAGGATTGAGAAAGGGCCATTGGATTTGGCAACTGGAGATGATTCATAACTTCAGAGGGAATTGTTTTAGTTGAACAAGGAAGCTGGAGGCCAAACTGCAGAGAGTTTCAAAGAGAGTGAAAGGAAAGGAGTTGGAGACAACAATTGTAGATGACCATCTCTAGGTATTTAGCAGTGAAAGGGGAGAAAGATACAGAGCAATATCTAGTGGGGATAAATGGAGGCTTTTTTGAGTATCCAGGAGACCTGATTTTGTTTGTGACAGTAGAGGAGACAGTAGACAGGGAGGGATTGAAAATTAGTGGGAAAAAATGGAAATGAAAGAAGAGGGAATATTCTGAGGGGAATGATCCAATCCAATAATCTAATTAATTTTTATGAAGAATTTACTATGTGCAGGGCACTCTGCTAAGTGCTGGGGATACGATTAATCAAAAAAAGAAAATCCCTGCCCCTAAGGAGCTTACAACCTAATGCAGTCAGCATGCAAAAGGAGTAAAGAAAGAGTGGGGGAGGAGGGAAAGAAACCAGGGCATTTCTGGTGTGGGGGCATCTTATTCTGCGTAGTTGAAACTAGCCAGAGCAGCAGATGCAGAGCGGAGAGAACCAAAAAGTCCAGTTTCTACCCTCCCAAATGGAAGGCATTGGGAGAACTTTCGTATTTCCCTCTCTAGCCTTCTAATCAGAGGGTAGAGTTTGGAGCTGGATTGATGAGATTAGAGGTGATGAGCTTAACCTGAGAGGGTTAAAATGGGATGAATTGGGATCATTAATGCAGGTAAAGGGGTTTGCCTCGGTAAGCAGAAGGGCCACCTCTTCATGGGAGACTAGAGCTAAGGAGGAAAAGGAGGAGAGCTTTTGGCATTTGTTTAATTTTTCATTGAAATATGAAGCCAAGTTCTCAGCTTAGAGGATGTGGAGGAGAGCAAAAGGAGGGTCAAGGAGGGATGAAATGATTGGAAAAACCAATATGGTGAGTGGGATAGCGAGTCAGATAGAGATATAGGATT